TAAAGAACCTGCGGTGGTCAAAAAACCCAAGTTGATTTTTTTATTTTTTGTTCTTCAAAACACAGAATTGGCAGAAGAGACCGAGGCCTCTCGAGTCTGCAGCCGAGCAGCCACAAGGGAAAAGCCTGATGGCCTTGTTCAGCTTTGTGGTGGTTGTGACTCAAAGCTATAATGCACAGCAGACAAATAACAGGGACAACTCACCCCTCAGGAAAGAACGCGTTGATGATTCGGTCTCCCAGCGGATTGATGGCCAACTCTGGGATCCTCTGGAAATCTTCTCGACTGCAGACGGGAGAACATACGATCAACATTAAATTCCAACACGTTTTAAACTAATTAAATCAAAAGAGAGAGATGCTGTTCATTTTAAACTGTACAACAATTAACCGGAGATCTTAAGATTGTGATCACCTGTTAAAACTTGCAGCCACGACTTCATTATTCTTTTTAAAACTAGACTTTATTTGACGGCAGATATGAAAACAGGAGAAGATGAACGGAAAATAGGATGGCAAATATATATTTTTAATAGTTTCGGTTGTTAAAATATATAAAATGTATTGAATACAGGAACCAGTTAGTGACAAAGTTCCTCGGCCCATCAGCCGGGACCGGACGTTGGTCAGCTGAGACATATGTAAAATCTCACTGTTGTGGCAACTAATGAATGATAAGAAAGTCACCTTGTACCCGACTGTGTGCTGAGACTGAAAGCACCGGAGCGAGAACAAGCAGAACCAAGAACTTGTTATGTGTAAACACAACATCTTTCAAAAGATCAGTAAAGAGAGATGGGTTGCTATTTTTTTTTACCCTTGAAATCTGCAGATGAAACCTCTCTGCCCAATCAGAGAGGTTGTGCCAAACCAAAGTTTTCAGCAGCCTTAATGATTACATACGTCTTCACCTATTGCTTGTTCTGCACGGACTAAGGAAAGAGCTAGAAGTTAATCACAAACCTTAGAAATGTCACACTGAGGTCTCACAAGCTTTATCTAATGGCAAGACAGTGTCACTAGTCTACTGGATCTCCATTACTGTCGTGCATTTATGGAATAAAACTAGTTTTAAAAGAAGAATGTGCTGTAAAATTAGTACAATCTATTAAAAACACCTATTTCAATTCAATTTAAAAAGCTCTTTTCTCCATATTTCTAGTTTATCTCTAATTGTTATAGGATGTGTTATAGGACCATCACAGTTCTGTATCTGTTGATGACTGCAAAAACCTTTGTTAATGAAAAAGGAAGAATAACTTTCAGTTAATAACAATTTGCAAGTGAGGAAATTATGTCTTAACGCCTTTATAACAAGTATTTAAGTCACTTCCATCCTCCATTGTATAAAATATCGTGCCACTTTTAACTGGTTACCTGCCAGAAACAAACTCACGTCATTGCTTACCTGAGTGTGCCGTTTTCACCTTTATCCAGGCTGGTGAATCGGCTGTACAGGCGAGTGATCTGACTGTGGGAGACTGTGGGGAGGACACAGAGAGACAGATTTTACTACCAGAGGACCAGAAAGATAACAGGTATACAGTCTCACTCTCATGCTTTCATTACACTGCCACAAATAATGTATACAATCATCTCCAGAGGTCAGGAGAGCACTATTACACAGTTACACAATAATGCTATTGCGAGATATGGGTGTTTTATCACAGGAAATATAACAGTACAGTTACGTTAGGCAGCTACTGTCTTAATATGAATCACAGGAATTGATCCTGAGCTCAACTTACAGCCAGTCTCCTTCTTAATTTCTTCGATTTCCTCCTCTCGGAGTAACGTGGACGCCCTGGAGCCCATGGTGAAAATGTCCCAAAACCGAGAGGACTTTCTGACTTAGGCAGGTATTGCGCAATAAAAGCAGCTGAGAGAGAGAGAGAGAGAGAGAGAGAGAGAGAGAGAGAAAATCTCTTAAAAGTTAGCAAACGAGCTAACGTAGCGAAGCGGCTTTAAGTCGTCGATGGAGGCGAATACAGCCGTTAGAGCCGTTAGAGCCGTTGCAGCCGTTAGAGCCGTTACAGTTGGAGTTTAATCCAAACCGCCGTTGTTCGGTGCCCCGGTGGTGTCGCTCGGTTGTTTGTCTCCTGAGCTACTGAAGCTTTAATATGGTCGGTCCTGTTTTCATATTACCGACTCGAGTATCGCTCAGGTTAGCTTCCGGTTTTATGAGCAGGGCAGGTACTCCCCTCTAGGACGGCCTCTACGGGTTTAGGTAGCGGAGTCAGTGCCTGCTTAACATTTGAAGCGAATGCCGCGTTTATAAATAGCTTTATTCACATTGTAAAAAAATACCACGTTATCTGCTCTGTTAAAGACATAAAGCTAGTATTTACAGCGCATTAGAGAAAATAACCAGCGGTTGTTTTAAAGTCCGTAAGGCGCCTTCAATCATGCAAAAGAGGAGCTAGCTGCGGAGAGGGGCACCATCCTGCTGGGGGGACGATCTCAACCACTACACCTGGTCAGACGTCGAGCTCAATGAGAAATACATGCCTGTATATAATAATAATAATAATAATAATAATAAAATAATAATAAAAATAATAAAAGATAATAATAATAATAATAATAATAATAATAATGATAATAATAATAATAATAATAATAATAATAACCTGCTTTATGTATATCCATTTAATATTTATTTCTTTGCACTATTTGTATTTGTTTATAATTGACAGAAACATTTACATTGTATGATGTTGGTCATTGTTGCTTTTTATATACACACACACAACTATTTCTTTACCTATACTTATATATATATATATATATATATATATATATATATATATATATATATAATAGTTCTAAATATGTTTTTACCTACGTCTGTTCAGCTTTGTTTTTCCTTGTTTTTAATGTCTATTTCTAACTCAATTTCTACTTAAACAGCTTGTAACATTGTGATCAGTCAAATTTCCTTGTACTTACACCTGGCCAATAAAAGTGATTCTGAGTCTGATTATTAATTATGAGTTTAACTGCTGAACACAAGACATCTCCCGCTTCAGTGAAAAGTCTGTTCTCAATGTATGCACACTGAAAGTTACAAGTTTTCATATCACACAAGTCAAAACAGTCTTCTAATGTCAGACTGTCACACATTCATCATTCTACTGACCTCGAACATCCAAGTGAAGTAATAAGCAAAACACATTTCTGAGAGTGAGTGCACATGCAAATCATCAAATAATAATTATAATCAGAGCAAATAGTGAAAAGCCTAACATCAAATAATGAATTTCCATAGCAAAAAGCCAAATATCAGATAGCAAATAACAAAGGCACTCGTTATAGTATATATAATATATACAGTGGTAGAATAATACAGCTTCATACTTTGTTTAATTTGAAAATGTAGGTCAGAATCTCACCACTAGATGTCACAATTTCCTAATTTCCTACGGTCTTTCTTCAATGAATGCAGCATTTGTTATTGGATGTGTGTGAATCAAAATCTGCCTTAAACCAGTGAGCCAAATCTGAGGAACTAATCACAAAGTACAGCTGGAAATGTCATTAGTTTCGCAAGTATTTGCTCATAAATAATACTTAGAAACTAATAAAAAAGGATAAAGTTTGGTGCTAGATGAAGTAATTATATTACAACCCACCCTGGGAATGTGTGACCCACATATGATGGCAGTCCATCCAGTTGTTGTGGAGACACTCAAAACAACAAATGTGAACCTCGTGGAGGCGCTAGAGGAAAAGCCAGAAGATCGTGAAAGTCTTGTCTGTGAACCATGAACGTCTGAACAAAATATTTTGTACTTCACAAGATAAGTGAACATTTTAAACCTGCTGGTGGGGGGGTTCACTAAAGTCAGCAGGGTTCATGTTGTAGGTAACAGGAGTATCTGTTAAAAACTGAACCCCTGGTCGATCTGATAGTTACCAAAGTGGAACTCAATGACTCAGACTCAATGAAATCAGTCATCAGGTCAAATTCCAACTGATTAAATACTTTGGTTCACGACTAAATACACAGAAACTTCTTATTTATATCCTGCAACCACAGAAGTGTCAGTGTCTCATTTGTCAGCTCAAACTGTGCCCTGTGTTTTATTGTTAGTTTGTTTTATGAACAGATACCAGTGTCGGGCAGTAAGGCATTACTAGTGATAATATTACTTTCCCCAGTAATTAATAATGTAACTAAGTACTAATACATTTCAGTAATAATATTAGTGACAGCCTTACTTTAGTTGTCACACCTCTACTGATTTGAAATCCAACAATCACATCCTAGCAAGATGGAAACTCCTACATTCAGCAGCTGGAAATATTCACATTACTTTGATCTTAACAAACAAAACTGGATTTTAATCTTCGTAAATTGGGATTTTGTGGAGAAAGGACAGTTACAAATTTTGTGGGGAGTAGTATTATAGTAATATAACTTGTACTTGAGTATTAAGTAACTAAGTACTGTTGGCAGGGAGTAATGTGTAAAGTAATAATATTTTTTAAAAGAGTAATAAGTAATAAATATAATGTTTTAGGATGTAATTAAAAAGAGAGGAAGATATTTTTAATGTGGGTGAAGCATTATTGGATCAGGCACTAAATATTGTTAAAAAATGCTTCTCCCAGACAGAAATATGCTGTGAAATGCATCAGGTGTTAAAACAAGCTGACAGGGAGGCCAAAATATCCCCCATAAAGCGGCAGTGGTTCATGGTAAGAGGATGTGTGAGGGTCCGACTGTCTGTCGGGCACTTAAAAAGGGGTTTTGATCATCAGAAAATAGGCTTAGATAGAATTACTTCAGTGTACAAATCCTCTTCTGTGGACTACCTACTGTTAATGTGTAAAGAATACTACAATGTGAAACTCTATCCCCCCCAAAAAAGTGTCAATTTCATATTAAGGAATAATAAATAAAAAAAAGGTAAAAACATGAGAAATTAGTCTTTTTTCTTTTTTTTTAGCAGTTTTGGTCAGTCCGATTTATTCCAAGATCCCTTACAGCAGAGTCTCTTCAGGTTCAACAAACATTCAATGTTTAGTGGTAGGCCATTCAGATCAATCAAACATTATTCATTATTCCTGCCAGGACCTCCATACCACAAATAAAGCTGAGAGAAAAACAATTTTACTTGAATTCCATGCTATAATTTTATATCCTATGTCCTAAAAATCAGAAGCAGTAAAATATCATCCACAAACCATTCACAGTGATAGTGCAACGCATCATAAAACAAGTTTTAAAAAATCTCAGTAAAATAAAAACATCACAAAAGTGTTAGTGTGTTGATAAAACAATAACGTCAACGCCACATCAGATTGATTCCTAAGCAGTGCAAGGAGAATTCGTCTTCTCAGGGCTTCCCACACGGAAGAAGAAGCACTTTGATGTGAGGCTCTCGTGCAGAAAAACCTCGTTTAGTTGTTGAAACGACACGCTGAGTCCATGGCGAGCTGAATGCTGCAGAGTGAAACGACAGAATACAACTGGCTTCAGTATCAAATAACAAAATATAACTTTTATTATTAAATGATTGAACTGTCACGGGGGACAGTGCCGTGGAGTTTAACTGGGACTATACTGATACAGTGTGCAACGTCTGTACTCGCGTATACAGATCCAGTAAACAGGGAAATACTTTCTACAGTTTGTATAATCTGTGAGGAATTAGTTTTATTTGTTAAGATAATATTAAATAATGTGTCTGAGAGCTGCTAAACTTAAAACAATGGAATTATTTTGGGTTTAATGCAAAGCTTTTTGACTATTTAATGGTCTAAATACGGTTTTAGAGGCTTTGCGACCATCAGTGAGATTCTGAGTAGTGTAGTAGTGTCTTCACTGCGTTTAGGTTTTGTACTGTATATATTTAGCTTTGTAGTTCAGATTTTATGGGGTTATTTTTGTAACCATCTATCTGTAACTGTGCCTTCCTCTTTTGTTTTGTACAGATGTTCTCCTTAGCGGGTATTTCTCATAGCAAGATGGTGTATAGTAGTTCGTCATTGGGTTTAATGGTTTATTAATCCATGTTTGTTATAATAAAAGGAATATGTCACCCAGTACAAAAGTGTCGCTCACTAGATATATCAGACTTTAAATATACAGACAGAACTTGTTTGTGGGATCCAATCACTGTTGGTTTTGTTCTTTTCATGGGATTTATTTATCATCAATAAGAATAATACCAGACTCACCTTTTAGGGACATTTTACTTAAACCAACTTAAAACTGTAGATGACTTTATACAGATCAAACCAAACATATAAAAGACTGAAGTCATGAGAAACTGAAAGTAGAGACACACCACAATAAGACTTCTTACCTCCTACAATTACCAGTAAATAAGGATCATAAAACTACCAAGACAGAAGAAATAGGAAGATGAAAAAACAAATGTGGTTTATAAAGTGGGAAGTAGACCGTACCTCTCTGCAGTGTATCCTCTCTCACACAGGTTCACCAGAGCATACAGATGTCTCAGAGCATATTCATACTGAAACACAAGAGGACATCACATGTGTCAGAAATGTCCCCACATGACCAAAGTTTGTTTTCCCCCTGTTGTATTTGTGGAGCCCGAAATGTCAAACACTTCCAGAGAGAAGGGATTTTTTTTTTAATGAATGAACCCCATACAGCTGCATGAAAGTACCCAGGAAAATAATCAAGTGACATGATGAAGGATTTCTTATTCAGCAGGTTGACAAGTATTAGCTTTGGGCTAAGAGGTAAGATACAAAAGAAATATGATCATCCAGGGTCACAATGGGTCTCATGCAAGAACATTTTTGTTGTTGGCGGACACCTCTGTGTTTATTTAATTCCTTGCTGTGTACGTCTACTAATCTAATCTATCATTTTTAATTTTTAATAAAGTTTAATTTGTACTTTTATGTCCTTTGTAACGCTTTTTAATGCTATTATTTGATTCTGTTTTATTTTGCTGTTGTGAAGCACTTTAACTATGTTTCAAAAGTTGCTATACAAATAAAATGCATTATTATCATTATTATTATTATTATCTAATTTTCTCATATTTAAAGAACTAAATTAGCGAGTTATGAATATATTTGCCTTGCTCCACATGGGGAAAAAGACTTGTTTGACCAAATAGTTAAACAGTATTTATCAGTACTAAAACACTTGAGAATATGGTTTTCATGAAGTCAAGATGTATGAATTCATGCTTATTTTGCACTTGCTGCTTACTGTCAGTGGGTTAGAGTCAGCTGAATGCAAAAAGCCAAATGAACGTGGGTCTAATACCTACTGATGAACAGCATGTGAAACAAATCTGGTCGTTTCCTCTTTTATAGCAGAACCAGAGTCTTGGCACGTGAGTGAGTTTCAACTATTAACTACAGATGAATCCCGCCAAAACTGTGACTAATCAACCATCACGTTAAAAAAAACCCCAACACTGGTCTGTTCTGAACGCGCGGAAATGATTCTTCGGCGCAGCTCTACCTCGGTTTTGTGCCAGTTGAAGCAGTTGTGTTTGTAGTGGTTGACTGCAGCCTTGTAGCACTGGTGCTGGGAGAGGTCCGGCTCTGTCGTTGAGAACCTCCTCGGCCTTCAGCTTATTGCCGGTCACCTTCTCAACCACTTGGCGCATATTGTCAGCCAGCATCTCCCTGATCTGAACACACACACACACACATTAACACACATTAACACACTGAAAACTGGACCGTGGGAACTGTTACGGTGAAAGTTAAATCTTCCCGTTAAATGTGATTCGCATGGCGTGCTTGAAAAAGGTCTTTCACAGATGACCTGAAACATACGACATCCAAATGGAGCAGAGGGTCAGTCTTTACCTTCAGGTGGGTGTTGATCTCCATCAGCAGCCCCCTCGCCTGTCTGATATCATTGGACGACATCATCTTCCTCTTGAGGATGGCCAGAGGAACGTCGGGGCTCGGGGTCAGATCCAGGTTTGTTACTGGCGTCAGGGTCATTGGAGGAGCGGACTGGCTGCTTGCCTTTCGGCTACCCTGAAACGCCATAACCTTCATGTGGGCCAGAGTCTGTATAGAAAGTCAGAAACTCAAGGTCAGAATCAAAATAAGGGCAGGAAACAAACATTTCTCTCTGCCTTACAGTTCCCCTCCACAACATTACTCAGACAGTCATCTAGACTTCAAATAAAATCCTCAGCACAACATTTTCCCTCCTTCATTCATTCATTAATTCATTCTTTCACCTTGTTTCCAAACTGCTGGACATGGCTGGTGTTTGTGTGGCCCTTCACGATCTTGAACTGCTTCAGCAAAGTTTCTTTGGTCAGGTCCTCCTGGGAAGCACAATGCGAGACAAAAAAATCCCCTGTTTTATAAACTGTTTGATAAAATAGGCAACAATTAGCAAAGTAATCTAAAGTGATCAAAATCTTTCAGAAATGACCAATTACACAGTGTGTTTAGTTCCTATTTGTTTAACTTTCTGTTGATGAGGTTTCTGTTCTGGGATGCTTATATATTGTAGGACCACAGGTGCTGTCATTGCTCATGCAAACAACCAGGTTGTTATTCTGCTGCTAAAAGCAAACCACTGTTTCTGCTGTTGGAAACGTTCACCACTTCCTTTTCCTGTCCCTGCCTTTTTGATAGCAGGTGTGTTTGGAACAGCGAATAAACCTTTAATGGACTTCATATAGTCTGAGTTGCTATTGTATCATTTAATATCAGTTGGCAACAGAGCGGTAAAACTACCATTCAACTGTATGAAATACAACAAAAAGCAAAAATCTCTGAAGGAAATTGAATTGCTGCTGAAACTTTAGCTTACTTTAAGAATCTAAAATGTGTCTTTGCATGCACTTTTTTTATTTAATCAAATTATAAAATTTATTTAAAATGTGTTTTGAAGTTTCCAAGAAAAGTAGAATGTTAAGCTTTTCAGAAAAAATGATTCGATTATGGTCACATTTTCCAACAATACCCATTCGATGTATTGCTGCTAGGTAACATTAAAAAACTAAAAACATTTGGTAGCTTTTATTGCGAAGTAGAAATACATTGTATTTGTCACAACAGTTAGCACTGAAATCTCAAATATTATAATTTAAGAATGTCAAGGTACCAGAAATGTATTAGTTGATACCAATACCAGTGAAAGTCCACGATTCTCGCCCCAATCCTCATTTAATATTTACTATCTGCTGAGTCCTGATCCAAAAGCTCTGTCTTGCAATAAGAAAAAGAAAAAGGCCTGCATCCAAACTGTTCCCTTCATTTTGCTTTATTCAATAACAATAACACTCTCTGTAATCTTTTTTGTAATGCCGCTCCCTTTTAAAGTGTCCTGCAGCTGCTTGTTTGTTGTTCCAGTGCAGCCTTTACCTGAGTTACCTGAATGAACTGTTTCTTTTCCTCATCTATACCTTTTGTTCGGATTATGTAAATAATTTGTTCTTATTTGCTTTTTGTTCGAGGAGCTTTCGTTGCACTTGGTGTGGCGAGGCAGCAGAGAGAGCTGAGGATGGAGCACTGTGCATGGAAATTTTGCAGGTAAAACACCTGTACAGCTGCACATGTTCTCCTTCTTCCTATGACATTTAGTGGTCGACTAGAATACAGGTGGGTGTATATGCTGCCGCATCAGATCCAGAAGAATTGCAAACTAGTCCTCTAGAAACAGACATCCACTTGGTACCGAAGTATCGGTTCTTGTGAAGTCCCTAATGTAATTACATATAATTTAACATTGATCTAAAAGGTTTATCATTTAAATTACATTTTTTTTTTCTGTTCATCAAATACAAGAGGGGAAACACCACCCACCACATCAGAGTCCTCCATCCAGTTCACACTGTACCAGTCTCCCAGGTATGTGTCCCTCTTCTCGTCATAGTAGCAGGCGTAAGAGGACTCATGAGCGTTTGCTGCTGTGGTGGCGTACACTGAAAAACACAGAGACATTCTCACATTACGCTGTGTAACAGTTTGGTAGAGTAATTTTCCAGTTGACAAACCTAAACATGACTCACATGAACACATGAAGCTCTAAAAGGACAGTTTGTGAACTCACTCAGAGGTTAAAGGATGAATGTGTTCCAGAAATAAAAAACTGACTGCTGCTTTATATTTGCACTGATCATGGTCATTTAGACCACAGAGGGAAGTGTGTAAAAACTGTCTCTGGTTTAATACAATAAAACCAGAACCTTCCATGTCCTGTGCCGGTCCGGTTATGTTTATCACATGAGGCCAAGCACATGACAGAGTGGCTGGCCTCAATGCTGCCATAATGCTGACCCAAGTGTTTGACTAGACACAACAAAAGGACTATAAGTCGTAAACTAAAGTCCACAAACTGCCAACTAGCCTGGACACGACAAAGGACCTAAAGAATTGAGATAAAAGCTTAAAAAACAACAACAACCTATAACTCATTAAAGAGATCACATGAGCTTATACGTGTGATTCTTGGCAGGGTTTTGTTTTCTACCTCAAATGTAGGTGAAGTCTAATGGTCACAAGGAAAAAGTCATGTTGCCGAGGGTTTAAGTACTCATCGATTGACACTTTCTATTGATCGCTGCAGCTTCATTATCTCTTGGTGTTACTGGGAAGCCACCCTGCTGAGGTAAAGTTCAGCTCACCGTCAATGTCAGCAGGGAGTTTGTTCATCATTGACCCGGACTCACATGCCTCGATGTAGAACACCATCTGTGGAAGTGAAACAAGCTTCATGATCTAATCTTCTGGCACATTATCAGCTGATTGGATTTAATCACCAGCATACTTACTATAGGGGATGTACACACATATAGGCCTAAAACAACAACAACAATAACAACAACATAGCAGCATGTTGCTACGTACCTTTTTGTATTTCTTATTTTCATGCATGTATTTAATAGTTTCTTGGAGGTCTTCCACATGGAGCTGCAGACAAAGAGAGCAAGGACAAAAATCAAAAACACTGCACGCTCATTACATTAAATTTTTCCTTATTCTTGTATTGTATATTATTCATGTTCTTATTATATTTAATTGTAAAGTAATTTATTTTGTTCTATTTGTTATTTTTGTACTACTTTCCCCTGTGCTGCTGTGTCCAATCTATGCATTTTTATCTAACACAAGTACCAAAAACATGTCAAATGATACCCATAATGTCTCTCTGTGGCTCTTGAGCTTTGCTTTATGTCATTTACTATTCCCTCAATCATACTAAATGGGATAGTATGGACAATTAAACAAATATCTATGATGTTAAAATTATGTTTATATAGATACAGATATAAAAACAAAGACACATGACTGATCTTGTGAGAGATAATTACCTGACAAAACGAGTTCAACCACGTAAGAGTAGTTCATACCTGGTTTACTTTTTGTGGTTCAGAACCATCTTATGTGTGTTGGTGCAGTAAGCCAATGGGTAAACATTAGCAAAAAACAGGAAGTAGAAAAGTGCTTACCTCATCGTTAGGGAAGGCCAGAATACCAGGCGCCCCGTGGTCGGTGAAATACACAAACACGTGATCGTTGGGGCCGCTGCCAAGACAAACAGAGCAAGGTTAGATGGAAAGAAAATCTTCATAAACCAGATTTGGTGCTGCTCTGATGTTATTGAGTCGGGAGATTTACGGCTTTATTCTCTTTGTTTTATTGGATTACTTGCCTCTTCAACACTTTTCCAGAGCCACCTTTGACATTTGAGGAGTCGCCCTTCAGCACAGCCAGAAAGTTTTGCGGGGTCACATCCTGCGGGAGGGAGAGCACCCAGTCAGAAATCACACAGTTTTCAAAGTCTCATCAAACAATCAGTTTAAATGTCAACAGCACTGCAACACATTTATTTAAGAGCTATGATTGCCACTCTTGTACAAATGTTTGCGCCGAGCCACTCACATCCCCGGTGTAGTCTTTAGGAACTCCCTTATACACATCTGTGCCATTCGGCCTGTTGATCACTATCCCGGGGGTCGGGTTACTGGAAACAAAAATATGATTCAGATTTGCAGGAGGAAGTGCAAACGGCTGACAATACACTTTGGTATGATGACAGGGCAGCGAACAAATGATTCTCTGATCAGGTGACAGCTTCATAGCACACAAGGTTTTACTATTTTTCCACTACAGAATCACTTTCTATAACTCTACACAACGAAGGCTGGAAGAAACTCCACTGTGACAGTAATTATGCAGAGTTGCAACTCGTCTCAAGGGATTATAATCTGAAAATGTTAAGAATTTGGTTAGTTAGTCTGAAAATAAAAGACATTTAAAGATGATGAATCATGGATCATGAAATGTTAGTTGCAGCCCTTAATTCATGATTATCATAGTTTTATTGTGCACAAAAAAAAGATACTGCTATGCAAGCTGCACTCTTGCCTGTTTGTTTTAAATACAAGTTAGTTATTAACCACAAATCCAACACACCTTGTTAATAATGCCATATAAGAATATGATATGGATATAAAACTTCTGTCTAAAACTTGACCTACATTATGTCGAGGTATTTTTATACACGGACACGTCAGCCGGTGCTAAAGTGTGCAGATAGTTAATAATAGCTAAATCATTGGTTATTACTATTGCAGTGGAAATAATCTGCAACTTCTCTGTACCCACAGACGTTCCCATCAAACTGGTTCCAGCTTCTCCAATATGAGGATTTTGCTGCTTCTCTGGGTTTTATATCAAAGTAAAATGAATATCTTTGAGTTTTAGACTGCTCGTTGGACAAAACAAAACAATTTCATTACGTCACTTTGGGCTCTGACAACTTCTGATGGGCATTTTTCACTACTGAGTAATCAAAAAACTAATTAAGAGATTGAGAGATGATTAAACTTAGTGTTAGCTGCAACTCTAGTTAACTATTTGGAGATAGTTGCCTTCTGGATTCTACTCAAACTTCAGTCCAGACAAACTTTTTTTCATACATTCAAGCTGCTTTTTATAACACAAGAAAAGTTATTTTTAAAAAGGTTAAATATACAGTAGACTGAGAGTGAATTAATTGGTCCAACTGGGACACTAACTGACAGTCAACATGGCCAAATCAATGATCCTCCCTGTCGAACACTGCTGTGTCTTACTGCATGTCACAGTGTGTTACAGAGATCCTAATTCTGACTGAAACTGATGGATCTGCTTTCACTGCAGCTCCTCTATCCAGTCACCATGTCAGTAATACAACTCCAAGACCTGAAGGAGCACTAAAATTAGTTCCTTGTGACTCCTCTCACTGGGTCTCTGTACCTCAGCCTGTTAATGCTGCTGCTGCTGCTCTAACAATGACATGCCACAGCGACATGAGAAATACCAACGTGAGTGTGCGATTATTCTGTGGTTTAGAGATAGGACTGCGAGTGATTATCTTCATTTACAATTCATATTTTATCTCTTTATTAATCATTAGGATGGAGTTCCAACAACTCCAACAGTGAGACATCTTCTCTCTAGTGGAAGTCTGTGTTTAAACTTTCTCTCATCATCTTGTTAATAATTTAAGGTTATAAACTTATTATATTTGTGTTCCTAAAGCAGGATTTGGATAAAAGTAGCTCACGAAAAAGAAGCTGTGTCAGATTTTGTGGGTTACAGCTGTTGTTTTAGTGCATCAGATACATATTTAAATCAATATTTCTGTAAGTATCAAAGCAGACTCGACTTCAGCAGATACTCAATATTTTAAAAAAAAAATGAATTGAATCAAGATCAAGGCCATAAGAACTTCAATGGGACAAAATTTCCTGTCAGTCAACTAATTGATTACTTATCGTTTCAGCTCTACTGACAGACGACATGTGAAATATATTACACGTAGCTCCTGAGCTTTCTAATGACGTGACGCTATCAGAAGCTCATTACCATTTTCATCAGAGTTTCAGTTTACTGCTTTGTTCTATCGAGCACCTCAAAAACACACACAGGGCAAAGAGGAACACTCAATATAGGAACACAGTAATAAAGCATGTTAAGTTAATAACATGTAAAATACATGCAATACAGCATGTGTAAAAGATTTAAAGCAGCTAAGATCACATTCAGTATAACTGAGGCTGGAACTCATTTGCATTTTGTACTAACTCGCAATCGGGGGAAGAGAAGTCAAAAATAAATAGAACTAAAACTAAAACTACAGTGGGGTTTTTTTTTTATTTATTTAAAACACTTTAGGGGAAAGAAGAAGTCTGTATCACAAAAACATAAGTGTCAACTCACTCCTCGTTCTGTGCCAAGTCATCGTACATCATGACCACAATCTGCTCATCCGGGATGCCATTCTTGTGGACAATCTGGTAGGCATGGCAAGCATCGGCCTGAGAGACGGAGAGAGCAATAAGTACAGCTCACCTGCACCTTTTTAAGAGGATGGAGGGGGAAGAACTGTGGGAGAGCATGCATTGTGAAGGGGAAATGACTTATCTGAGGGTAAAGCTGATCTTATCAACACCAGTGCGGATTATAAAAGAACACAGCTGAGTCATGCACAGTTTACACTTGATAAGGTGACATTGTGGCAGCAGCTTCATGTAGTTTCCCTGTTGTTAGGACTCTCACCTGGTGCCTGTAGTTGTACCAGCCATTGGAGCCAGCCACGATGACCACCCAGTTTTTCCCACCTTCTGGCTGCTGGGAGGGGAACGCATTCACCAGCCCGAGACTCAGGCCGAGCAGGGCGAGGAAGACTGACCGAGACATACCCTCGTCTTCTGGGGTTGGGGTTGGAGTGGGAGTCCTGTATCACATGAATGACAGGGATAGTTAAAAGCTCTCAGAATAAATAAATAAATAAATAAAATGTGGATGCTGTGGGGATAAAACAACAGGTGTGGAAGCACACAAACAAACACACCAGCTGACAGCCCTGGGTGTCACATGATGATCTCAGAACCGAGCGAGCTAGTTGGTAGCACAACAAGCTAACACAACGGTGAAAAGAGGGAGGAGGGGGGGAAAAGCTAAGAATGCGCTATTAAGAAATTAAATGTAATAAATAAAAACCTCAGAGTCTTTTTACCTTCTGTTGTTGCTGTGCAGTACGAAGGAGAGCAGCGGGGAAGAGGAGAGCTACGTGAACGCGTCACAGCGGGAGTCAATGGGACATTTATATGTGACGTCGGGAAAAAAAAACCAACCCCAGTCGATAGGAATTCTCCTGCGGGAGCCAATCAGAGGGCTCGGTGGGGCGGGAGGGGGGCGGGGCTTCACTGTAAACAGACATGTGATCGAAGGACGATAACATGCGGGAGCTTGTGCGTCTGCTGTGCGGTTTAAGTGAAAACTAGATTAACGAGATCTCCAGTGGATCCTCATTTCCGAGAAAACAACTCCTTTCTTTAAACAAAAATGACAAATTTATAATGACAATAAGAGTGAACCTTGGTCGCTATAGTTACAGGACTTTTTTCATGCTCAATATGCTTGAGTAATATGTGCAAGTTAATTGAGAAATAAAGCAGACAGTGTTACTGTGCTTACTGAGCTTCATTCTTAACGAGTTTGAAAAATATCTTGCTTTGAAAAAGTCCACTTACTAGAGACTTACTTGAGATATGGCCATAGGCTCATTAAGGAATAAAGTGAATGGCATAAAGATGTAATGGTTTAACTGCAATGTTTATGTTTTACAGTAGCCTGATCTGAACTAGTTGACCTTTACCTTGTTGATGAAGCACTAATTGGGAGTTTAGGTGTTGGGCAGAACAGAGCAGTAAAGACATTGTGACATTATCATCGCAGGCAAATGTCAGAGAAATGTCCACAAATCCTCCACCATGCATTACCGATACAAATCGGTGAAAGCAGCAAAATAGCTCTCTAGACCGCAAAATATATGTCTTGTCTGCCAGAACCTGAGTTAAAACACCAGTCTCCTCATTCACTCAACTGTGTTTAAATCAGTTTGTGTATGATGAATTTTATCTATTTTGTTTTCTTGTGTAAAAGGAAATTCTTAAATAATGTGCAACTTTGGGCGATAAAATCATATAAATAATAATGTGATATACAAAGCTTTTGAGGAATGAATAACGACCCTCCAAATAAACTGTAACACTTTGACTTATTGTAACAACACAGAGAAAACTGAGAAACATCTGGCAGATCTACTGAATGTAAAAATCAGTATGAATAGTGTGAAATTAGATTTATTTGTAACCAGAGGTCAGAAAATCCAAATTATAATATGCAAAAAAATAATAAAATTGAGAAATATACACTTAAAAATTGGTTTTAAAACTGACTGATTCAAGAAGACAAGACCTACAGATTCTTCACACACCAACAGGCAACATGGCACATATTTTTTGCAGCAGTTCCTTATAAACTATTCAAGCAGGCACAGTAAAGAAATGTCACATGATACATGTTTCACTGTGCTATAAAACATATTATAAACCACAGCAGGTAACTCATAAAACCCCCTACCACCTCACTGCACCTGCTAATCACAAGTTTCATTTCAAACTTTGTCTCTCACGCAACATTACTTACTTTTAGTAAAAGTCCCTGTTGATGACCGAGCTTAGCGTGAACCAGTGCTTATTTAGACTGTCGGATTCCCGAAAATGGTAAGAGAATTCAATAAAATGATTCATAGACAACCAGAAGAGGCGTATTAAAGATGTCAGCAATAAATCAAACTTTTATTTCTCCATATAGAAAAAGAATTAAGTTAAATAGTGAAACAGTCCAACAAAAATTCGGCATCTTGTTTTCAACCAATGGTCCTTAATACATTAACCTTTGTCCCAAAATGAAAAAAAAAAAAAAGATGTAACAAAGTGTAAATACCATGTTCACAGTAATAAATATTGAAAACAAAATCTTTTATACATTGACATTATATATATATATTTGTGTAAATATATATATATATAGATATATATATATAGATATAGATATAATCATATACAGTAAAAAGTTATTTTCAAGTTTATCAAACATAAAATAGTAAAATAAAAATGGCTGAAAACAGAATGACGATTGCATTTTTTTCATTCCCAAGGCATCGGTAACCATGGCCATTCAGAGTCTGTAATAAATAAAATGTGATATTATCTAAAGAGGGTAGTGCATCACTGTAAATTAAAAAACAAAAATTATAGTGCAAGTTCTTTTTTTTCTTTGCGCAAAGTAATCTTGCAAATTTCCAAAAATGTATAAAGTAATCCAAACGGAATGACAACAATGAAACAGAGGAGTCTGTTGAGCACAGCACCGTCAAGTCTCAGTCTGTTCTGCACCACAACTTCCTCTGTAGTCTTGGCAGCACAAAACTAAAAACAATAAAAAAAAAAAAAAAGCTTTCATGTGTATGAAACCATGGCAGATATTCAATACCAGGCTTATTTTGGCAAATTATTTAAAGACAATCAAAACACACAAAAACAAAAAAAATCTCCACACGCTCTTTTACACTCAGGTCTGTCAGAATTGCCAACAAAATAGTTCGATGAAATGCATAGAAATTAATTACCAGTAGCGAGAACTAACTTAACTTAAGGGTTTGTTTACTGTCATGCAGCATTTCTGAGACGCAAAGCAAGGCAGATACTGTGGATGTGTATTGATGCAGTAAAGGATCTTGGATGAATGTATACTCTGCCTCTGCTTGCACTTTTCCCTGGCTTCCTTTCCCCCTCAGCGATAAGGAACAGGGGAGGGGGGAGAGCTCCCATTTCCTGTTTGTCTGCAGGCTCCTCTGTCCTGCTGAAAGCCAGGGACGTCTGGCTTCGTCTTCACACGGGTGTGTGTGATGTGTGTGCTTGCTTGTTTCAAACCTCTGCGCCCAACTCAATGACCCCAGTCTCAATAATGGGCACTAGCTTATCTTCCACCTGTACCAGCAGGATGGTCTTGTCGATATGGGAGCGATTGGCTGGGTCACGGCTACAAGGCACCCACCGGTGAATCACCTGCAGAGGGCAACAGAGGAGGCCGCTTTGTGAAAGGAAGCATCCAATCAAATTTATGAAGCATTTATTACAGAGCAAGTAGGTCACAGAGGGTGTTACAGTCCAAAAAAAAAAAAAAAAAAAAAGGACACGAGTACAAACAAGATTATCATAGCAAAATCATATTTTTAGCATAAAGGGTCAGGGAGTGTGTGAGTGTGTGTGAGAGCTGACGAACAACAGCAGGACAGATTTACTTGTCCATAAATCCAAAATCTAACTTTCATTTATCTGTGCATTATAAATAAAAGGTAAAAAAAAAAAGACTTACATGTCCTTCCATGCCCTCTAAGGGGCTCCAGTCCCTCCAGCAGGTCCGTCCTGCCCTCAGTCTTATCGTCTCGTCAGGCCACTGCAGCTCCTTCCGCTTCGATAAGTTGATGGTCTCTAGCACATGGCTGACGTCCACAATCTGAACGACATCGCAGGAGCACGAGAATAAAAATCCCATCATCACAGCAGGACAGAGTTTTTGCTTTTACTTTGACAGCTTAAAACTGAGTGACAGTATCACAGAAAGCAATGACATGCAACAAAGGCAGCAGAATACAGTGCTTCCTGTGACTAATTATCATTTCAGTAGAGTATTAATGTAATTATAGAGTGTATTAGTGGAGGATGACATGGCCTAAAATTCTATAAATGGCCTATATTTAAATTATATGCATAACAAGATTAAGTGTCCACAGCCATTCTAGCAGCTCTGCAATGCTGTACATGAGCTAAATGTTAATATCAGTGTTAGGGCTGCACAATATGGTAGATCATTTCGACAGGTATTACAATTGCGATATGATTTGCAATTTGAAGGGTTTTTTTTCATCACAAAATTATGTGACAAACATCTTTTCGAAATGTGTTGCCGCCCAAGGGGACATTTTTGTGGACTCACTGACAGACAGAGGAAGCTATAGAGCTGCTGCTGGTGCTTTTAAAATCAAGTAGCTCTATCTGTCAGTGAGCTAAAGATCTGAGAAAGGCAGGTCTAATTACAGGCAACTGAATGACAAACACTTAAAACTCTCTGGCACAGTTTTCTGTTTGTTGATGTCGATAAATGCGTGACACAGAAATTGCTAAGTTTCACTTGCTAAACTCTGCCAGTGTTCTTTTTGTTTTCTGGATATGATTTCATTCCTGATTATTTTTACACAATATTTACAAACCTGCACTCTGTAGGAGATGTCATCTCTGCGCACGGTGGAGACGGTGGGGTTGTGTTGTTGAGGGTGGTGATGATGGTGATGATGCTGGCTGAGGGGATCGGTCACGGTGTTGCACATGCCGTCGTTGCCCAGGAGGCCCACCAGCGTGTGGCGTTTGCAGGGAGGGATGCTGTGGCTGGAGAGAGAGCCGGAGGGGCCGGTAGGGTCGGAGGTGGAGCCCAGCCGGAGTTGCAGGGAGGTGGGGAGCGTGCGCAGAGACAACTGGCTGGTGGAGGAACGTCGGCAGGGCTCCAGGCCTGTGGTGGAGGTGCGCAGGGAAGAGTGACGACTGCTGCTGTAGCGGTAAGAGGATGACTGGCTGGCAACAGAGGCTCGGGCAGGAGAGTGACGTACCAAACCCGACTGAACAGACTGGGAACTCTGACTGGTGCCTGGACATAGACCATATGAAATTAGGGAAGTTCTCCAGTGATTTAGTGCGGCAATCTCATCAAATTTGAGGACTGAGAGGGACAGACTTTTAAAAAAAATTGTCAAAATTGATGCAGCAGAGGCCGTAATATCCTGGATTTCAGTCCCACAGTCATCTTTCAAAACTACATATCCCAAGTTCATAACACAAGCTTTCTGTCAAAAGTGTGAAATCTCAAGTTCAGCCCGAGAGAACCTTGATGGCATCATCGAAGTTACTCTCTCAGACTCCAGAGAGCTCCTCCGGAGCTACACAATACAGTATGCAACTGTTTTTGCAGGCTGTGCAGCACTGACCAACCTTTCTGTGTAAACTGAGTGGAGTACCCCTTAAATAAAAGCAACAACGATTGTAGCTTTTCTTAAATGAACACTGTGCGTCTCCAGTGAAATTTAAACTATACTTAGTTTAACAGAACTCAAAAAGATTAATTTGTCAGTGTATTCATAGCATTAGTGGTTGTCAGGTACAGCAGTTCTCACCCAGAGTGTGCGGCTGGTACGAGTGGGGGGGTGCAGGTCCAGAGTTCCCACCCTGCGACATTGAGC